GATATTATTTTTTATTTATTGCCTAAAGTTTCATATATGTTTCTTTTTTCCCCCAATTGTCCCTCTCCTCCCCCGCCCCAGCCATTCCCACCCCGGGCAAGCCCCCAAGATATTATGTATCTTTGATAAAAAAAATATTGACTGGTGAGAGCAAAAAATGTTAATTGTTAAATATGGGAGATAGGTGTATGAGGATTCATTATACTATTCTCTCTACTTCTGTATACTTTTGGAAATGTTTATAATAAAGAAATATTTTTAAAAACTGCCTAGGCATTATATGACCTCAGGACCAATAGTCATCTCAATAAGCTCACAATTTGCCAAAACTTTCCAGAAGATTTCAGAAATTTCAGAGATGGATTTGGATACAGATACTCATACTATACGTATCTTATACATATACATATAAGAGGAGTAAAAATAACTCTATTTGACCAGGATTTGCTCCAAGTTTGTTCTAGGGAGTGAGAAATACAGGTTAGCATTAAATGTAGGCTACGTGTGTCAGGGCTAATAAAAAAGGGCCAGAAGAAGAAAGCAATGAGAAAAAGTACTTCTACTAAGCATGTGTATGAAGAACAAGATTAAAAACACTTACTTCATCTCCAGAACCTCCTCTAAGTGTTTCCTTCTCTCTGCCCGAAGATTAGTCAAGTGAGTTTCCTTTTCTGCCAGAGACTGTTGAGTAGAGGACAGTTTTGCTTTCATGGACTCAAGTTCTTGCTTTACCTTCTCCATGGCCATCAGTAACTCCTCCACCTGTGATAAATATGGAAAAGAGAAAACCTGATTCTCTTGATCAGTTACAGTCAGAGGACTGGGCAATGGGCAATTCCTGGGCCCACAAAATTGAATACATACACACATAAAAACTTCTGTACACTTCTGGATCATTATATATATAGGCAAATAATGAATAAATCTCTGATCATCCCTCCACTATAATTCTTTTCCATTTCAGCCAGAAAGAACTTTATTTTCTTTTTGATAAATGCAAGGACATGTAAGTTCAGGAAGGGACTGCCTGTCATAGATAATCCTTTTTAAGGAACTTATTTAGAAATTCCCCAGAAATTTCCATGGAAATAACAACATAATACAGATAAAGAACATAAAGAACAAAATCATCTATGTATATATAAAAGCCTAATATGCAAAGTGTCCTCTTGGGAATTCAGTCACTCGCTATGACATGCGCTGACCACCAGGAGGCAGCACGGAATGAAGGCAGGCCCCGGCCAGCAGCCTGCAGCTGGGGAAAGGAGGCCCTGGCTAGCAGCCAAGAGCCGGGGAAGGGAGGCCCTGGCCAGTGGCTGGCAGCCGGCAGCTGCTAGGGACCCTACCAGTGAACGAATTTTGTGCACTGGGCCTCTAGTAATAAATATTTATAGAAGAATTTTAGGAAATAAGAGACAAATTTGACTAATAACAGATTTAGTATAAACATAAATGATTTTTGTTTTACACTATTAAAAAGAATTTCTTTTTAAAGAAACAGAATGAAATCAGATAAGGGAGAAGTAGAGATTTTTCGAGGAAGGCAGGAATAATATAGAGAATACTCAGAGAGGAGAGAGAATCCTTTAAAAAGACCTGAAAAAAACACTCAGGAGGAGATGACCGAATGCTGAACCACAAAAAACTAAGAGCTACATATGTACTTTACAGTGATTTCCACTTACTCTGGGTGGTTCCCAAATCAAATTTAAATAAACATGTCCATTTTAATTCAGAAACAGAAAATACACTGATAAAATATATTATTGCCAAAAACTAACTTCAACCAGGTAACCCATCCGCCACCTGCACCAATCAAGAGTTTCTCAGGTTGCTGCTTGCCAAGAAATAATGTAGGTGACAATGAACCTTTTGAGAGGAAGAGGTGAGTGAAGGCAGAGACAGGGGGTCTGCCATTCATTGACTCCTCCATAATATCAATTTGCGTGACAGTAAAACTGAGAGCATCTGGAGACAAAACTATAGTATAACAAATCAGAGGTGTTAACAGACCCCCCTATAGTGCCTCATACCTAACCACAGTCTCCATATTGATTGGTAACAGCTGCTAAACAATGATAATAAACAGATACATTTTGGTTTCTGCTTTTTTGTGTACCTTTTCAGAAGTGATCAAGTTAATGTTCTCAGCTAATGGCATCTTCAGTTCCAGTTGCTATCAGAATATATATTATGCAGATCTCATATATCTGCTACCTTTACATAAACATATATCACTGTCTGCCCTTTTGAAAACTGCCAATAAAGATGATTTCATTTTATCAGTCTAATTCATGTAAAATCTCATCCTAAAACTGAATTGAACTGATATACCAAGGTATGCTCTTATGACACAAAATCAGTAATGAATAGCACTATTTATACAAGCTCAAATTAAGTGCGGGACATATGCATCTTTTATAAACTTATCTTAAATATATCTAAAAAAAATCTCCCTCCCATCCTGTCTTTCACTACCCCAGGTAAGAAATGGTATCAGTTTCCTATATAACTTGGAGACATATTCTATATGTGCACAAGCAAGCATGTATAAATAATCTATTTTTCCTTTCTACACAAAAGGAAGCCCACTCTGTGAATCTAAACTTTTTGGTAAATTTTTAATTGAAATACAACATACAGAAAAATACACAAATAATAAATGTGTAGAAATTTCTCAAAACAAATACACCTATGTAATCAGCACAGGCCAATAAACAGAACATTACCCAGTATCCCAGAAAGCTCCCTCATAACCCCTGTCCAGGTAGAGTAATTATTCTAACTAGAGGCCCGGTGCGCAGATTCGTGCACCGGTGAGGTCCCTCGACCGGGCTTGTGGGGATTGGGCTGAAACCAGCTCTCTGACATCCCCTGAGGGGCCCTGGATTGTGAGAGGGTGATTTTTGGGTGATGCACCCCAGAATTGGGCTCCCTCCTCTCTGGATCTGGGTGAGTCACCCGAGAAATGCAGCTGCCAAGTCACCACAGCTTGGCAGCTCCTGCGTTGAGCATCTGCCCTCTGGTGGTCAGTGCGTGTCACAGCTACCGGTTGAAGCATCTGCCCCCTGGTGGTCATTGAGCATCATAGCTACTGGTCAGACGGTCGGACGGTCTTACAGTCGCTTAGGCTTTTATAAAGATACTCTAGGTTACTTTTGTCTATTTGTTTTACCTTTATACAAATGAAATTAAATAGTATATAATTCTTTTTCACTCAGTGTTATGTTGATGAGATTCATCCATGTTGTTGTTTCCCTCTAAGACCAGGACCAAGAATTATAGTTTTATTATTCTTATAGCCACATGATATTCCACTGTGTAAAGACAGTGAAATTTACTGAGGGGACTTTTGATAAATGGAAGCTTTTTATTTTAATGAAGCTTAATTTTTTCCATCATTCAGTGTTGCTGGCTTTTTGTTTGTTTTTCTAATTTTAATCCTCACCCAAGAATATGTCTCTCTTGATTTGAGGGGGGCAGAGAGGGGAGGGAGAGAGGGAGAGAGGGAGAGAGGGAGAGAGGGAGAGAGGGAGAGAGAGACCTGAGTAAGGGCCCTGACCGGGAATTGAACCCACCAACTTTTGGGGTATGAGATGATGCTCCAACCAACTGTGCCACACCAGCCAGGGCCACATTCAGAGCTTTTTGTACACTAAAATAAAATGGTGTCTACTTCAAGGATATGAGAATATTCTATTCTTTTAAATCCTTTATTGGATTACATGTTTCACATTTGGATCTACAATACATACACAACTGATTTTTGAGTATGGAGTAATGATCAAAATTAATTTTTATCAATATAGATATCCAACTGACTCAGCACTATAAAGAGAAGAACTTCAATAGTCATGGTCGGAAGGTACTTTAGGCTTATTTGCAAAACATCACAAATTATTTAAAGAGTACTTACAAATTATAAAAAACAATTTAACAATGCTTTATATTGCACATAACCAACATTAAATTTCATAAATGAGCAATGTGAATTATTATATGCATATTAAAAAGGAATATGTATATATCCTAGAAACAAGAGTAATATACCTCTGTTTACTTACTAACCATGAGCTTTGTTTATATCAGTTATTCAAATGTAATCCCTAAATCTTCTGTAATAGGCAATTACCGTATTTGCCGGCGTATAAGACGATTTTTTGGCCCTGAAAAATATGCCTCCAAGTGGGGGGTCGTCTTATACGCCAGGTACACTTCAGACAGACTGCCCATAGTGCTTGCCCCGTGCCATAGTGGCCTCCCGATGCCCGCCCACTTCATTCCACATACCGTTCAGGCATCAGCAGCGCTGCTGGGTG